TGAACACCCAGAGCATGTGGACACAGGCCCCATACCTAGTACGCAGGGACAGTGCGTCCCTGCCGGGGGAGGTTCAGAAGAAGCAGGGGCAGGCAGGTGGCCCTGCTGAGTTCACTTGTACAGTCAGCACATGGCACCTTCCTCATCCCACCCTGAAAGGAAATGCTCACCCGCGCACACCCGCGCACTGTCTTAACCTAGACCCAAAGGGAACCAGGATTGGCCTGCGAAGCCTGGCCCTCCAGGACACTCACTTCCTTCTTCCTAAAAATACTATGAAGTTTGTAGAAGAGCCAGGCTGCTCACAGGTGGCCTGAAGAACACTTCTTTACTTCTGGGAGTCAGAGAGGACAAGGGCCCAACCTGGGATCACGCAGCAAGTCATAAACTGCCAGGCTGGCACCAAAGGACCCCTTAGGCACATGGTGCCCAGTGGGCAGCCCTGAACTCCTAGGAAGCCAGCCTGCGGGTCACTCCTAGTTCCTCCCTTTCTTGAAGAAGCTGAGGTCCTGCAGAGACGTTCTGGTGACAGGGTTACTTAGGAGCAGGGCAGCTTCTAAAGCTCTACCCAAACCTCTGCTGTTTTCCAAATAAGAAAGAATCCAGGTCAGTGTTGTTTCTAATCTTTTGTTCCTACTTACTGTTGGACTTTTGGGAAGTTCTTCCTGAGGTCTGCCTCCTATCCACCTCTTACAACACAGACCTCAGGTCTCAGGGGGCATTAGTTAAGGGCTCCTAGAGATACCATTTTCTTTGTAAGGCGACCCAGGAAGGAAACATACAACCAGGACTTGAGAAGAGTAGCCCCTCTCTCAGAGGTCAGGATGTCAATGAAGATGGTTTCCTAAGCATCTTGATGGAGACCTTGCATGCCTATGTGATTGTACCTCCTCACTGGTAAACTCCAGTTTTTGGTGACTGGCTAGCCTCCAGGTGCATCATCCTTATCCATTCACAGTACTTAGGAAAGCTGGCTGTAAAGGGTGCCTCAGTGGTTCCCTAAACCCAATACCTGCACACGGGTGCCTGCCTGACAGTGGCCAAAGGAGCCGAGCAGGGACCTGGGGGTTAGAGTATCTCCCCTTACCACATCTGGAGTCCTGCCTACACATATGGGAACCCAGGAGTCACAGAAGTGGGGCAGAGTGGGACAGGAGAGGAGGAGGAAGAATATGGGGAGATTCTAGTCCCTCCCACTTAGAGATGCGGTCGCCATGGTGACTAAGGACCAGTGAGGTGGGATGGGGTTGGGGATGGGGGTGGGAGGGTGGCGGGAAGGAGGCACTGCGAGACCGGAAAGCCAAGCTGCCTGGCATTCCAGGGGGAGGGAAGCGCAGCGGCATCCCCAGCTCCAGGTAAGAATCGTGGCGAGCTGACAGACAGTGCGGAACAGAGGGGCGGGCCATTGTCTGGCGCTGACTCTGCCCTGAGGAGGGGCAGACAGAGAAGTCAGACCATTGTGTGTAATGCTCAACGCAGCTTCCAGCACTAGCCAGACTGGGAGAGGGAACCCAAGAGGCACTGGGTAAGGGGTTAGGTGGATGGAGTGGGGTGGGTGGTAAGAATGCCGGGGACCTGCAGGATCAGGAAGAGGTGGGGGGTACTGGGGACACAGACTGGGGACATCCTTAGTGCACACACGCACACCCGCGCGCGCGCGCGCGCGCGAACACACACACACACACACACACACAGAGAGAGAGAGAGAGAGAGAGAGAGAGAGAGAGAGAGAGAGAGAGAGAGAGAAGGCACTCAATCATGTAAGTTGATTTGACTGGCTATAATCATTAGAGAAGAGGCAGGGCCATGGGTTAAAAGGTGAGCAGCAAAAGGATGTTCTCCAAGACTCTGCTCTCCCGAGGAGGCTGCCCTTAAGGCTAGGAAGAGAAGGAGGCTGGGAAAATTGGACCTGCCAGTCACTGATGAAGCCAGGGGTGGTTTCTCTACTGACTCTCTCAGTGTGACATCTGTGCAAGACAGGGGCTCCAGAGTGGCAAGGGGTAGGGTGAGGAACCTTCCAGCTAATATCACCCCCTCCTCACCCCTGCTTCCCATTACTTTTGGTGGTCAAGTCCCACAGGAAGGGGCTACTCTCCTTTACAGTCTAGGGGTTGTGGGGAGGACTTGGGAGGGCTGGAATCTGACGGGGATGTTTAAGTTTAACGCTGTGATTTCCAGGGGCTGACATGCTCCTGGGGATTCCCCAGGCTGAGCTCCAGGCCTTATGGAGAATTGAACTGAAGCGATGGGAATGGGGCAGTGAAGATGATATTTCCCTCTAGAGACTGCCTGCTGCCTAATGCCAGCCCTGGCCCAGATGCTTCCGGTCACTTGGTTTCCTCATTTGTGTAGCAAAGGAGGGTGTGTGGCTTGCCAGCTGGAAGCTTCCTGGGAGCAGAACCTGCTACATAATTTGTGAGGCCCAGTGTGAATGAAAATGTAGTCGTCTTTAAAAAAAAAAAAAAAAAGATTAGGACTTTCAAGACAGCAGGCAGGAGGGTACGCCAAGCGTGTCCTCTTCTGAGGACAGGGTCTTATGTGACCGTCACAGTGAGGGACTTGCTGTTGGGACCATGTGCCTTTCTCCACCTGCCTCTCCTCTGAGCTTGACCTGAAAGGCGCTGTGAGGAGAGAGTGGGTGGCACCCAGGGACAGGAAGTACCTGGGCTGAGGTTGACATCAGATGGCCTGTCTTTGGGGAGGTTTCTGTTCCTTCTGAGTCAGGAATCATTCCAGAGTGATTGTTTCTCAGCTGGAGGAGAGGGAGCCCCGATGGATGCTTGCTATGGCTACCCGTTGATTAGTTTTGAGCGAGCGGAGTTAATCCACCAGGGCAGGAGATGGGAGCCAGCCATGTAGGGTGACTTCCGAATTCACTGGTCTGAGGTAGATGGGTGGCTGGCTGGACAGTCCCTGGCCTTGCTTTCCTTCGCTGTGTAAGAAGAAGACTTTAGTGGAACCTGCCGGTGAAAGCTGGGAGGTCTGAAGCACTGCCAGCTCCTCACGCTGTCGGGGGGGGGGGGCACTGGGTCTTGTGGGGAGGTCCAGGGATAGGAATAGGGTAGAGGACATGGCTCTGGAGCTGCTCCTCTGGCTTCCTCTCTCATGGCTCCTCCCTGTGACCCAGATAGGCCAATCTGTCCCCAAAGAGAGGCCCTGGGGTGGTGGCTTCCCAAGCCTGAGCTGGAGGTCAAGGAGACTTAGATGATATCAGGAGAACAGAGAGATAGGCAGAGTCCTGATAATCAGAATCCGGGTTTGGGGGAGTCTTAGCAAATTTGACAGAAATAGCCCTCAGGAGAGGTTCTGTGTGAGCCCAGCCCCTGGGCAATGGCAGAGGATGGACACAGAATGAGAGGCATCAAGGAAGGCCAAGTGGGCTCTACTGTAACTCAAAGGGGGGAGGTTGCCCTCCAGGGAGGACCATCCTAGCAGTGAGAATGGGGTACTTCCTGGAGGTAGAGCAGCCTGGGTCATTGTGCTCTTCAGCCTGAAGTCAGCTGACCTGGGTGAGTGGGCAGGAGCTCAGCCACTCTTTATTGGCCTAGGAGCCCTTAGTGCTTCATTAACCCTGCGTTATGAGGTCTTCCCTGAAGCCTTTAGGGAGGAAGAACCAGCCACCATTCCAGCTGGGTGCCACATCATCTCCTTAGAGCATCCTATGAAGCATGAGCACAAAGGGGAAATTCCTCAGGTTTCCTATTGGCCTGATGCTGACCTAAGGGTAGGCGAAATTAGATAGCATGAGGGTGGCCTCAGCAAAGCCATAGACCCAAACCTCATACAAATGCGGGCTTTTTGTTGTTGCTGTTGTTATTTATGTGTTTCTTTATCTGTGCAGCCCTGGCTGTCCTGGAACTCACTCTGTAGACCAGGCTGTCCTGGATCTCAGAGAGATCTACCTGCCTCTGCTTCCTGAGTGCTGGGATTAAAGGCGTGCGCCACCAAGCCTGACTCTAAATGTTTTATCGTTCAAGAATGTGGGAGGGTCACAGGTTAGGCCTCTATAGCTATTTCTCAGTAGGTGACAGTGGGGAACCCCACCACAGAGTCAGTGGAAAGAGGATATGTAATATGAAAGGCAGTGTCATACTGAGTTGTCTTGAGCAAGGTGGAGACCGCAGCTCAGGCTGCTTAAAATGGAAGTGATGTACTAGAGACACAGGGCCATCACTGAAGTGGCCTAGAATAAGTGGAGGGAGGGAGGTGTGTCTCCCATAAAGCCTGCGAGTTCCCCCCCCCCCATCTCCCCGCCCTGATCCACCATTCACCAACTTCCGCCCAAGCCAGGATCTGTCACAACTCGAGGTAGAAATTCTGGTTTCCCTGGCCTGGAACCCACACTGGCGCTCGCAGGATGGGTGCCTGGAGGGCCGTGCTCCCATTCCAGCCAGGCTGAGCCTTCTTTCTCTGCCTAGACCCCCTCCTTTGCCTTGGATGCTTCAGGGTTTGAACGCAGGACTTCTCAGTGTGGCTGGCTCAAGGGTATGTGAGATGAGGTGGACAACTTCTATTCTGTGGTCTTGGGGGAGGTTGATGCTGCGGAGATCCAGGGAGGCAGACAGCAGAGACCAGGGAGGCCGTAGAGGTTGGGAGTCTGCCAGTGACTTCTGCCCAGGCCACTCCCAAGAAATGCAGGCGCGACGGCCAAGCTGGTAGATAACCTGTCATGCCCCTACCCTGAAGAAGGCGAGATAGGCCCTAGTAAGTCAGAGTCAGAGTCCCTGGGGGCTGGGGAAAGACTAGGTTGCCTGCCGGGATTGGGATTGGGGTGAGTAGCAGGCACAGTGGAGTGACAGGCCAGCCTGGGGATCGATCCTTTGAGTATAGGAACTAGTTCCCCAGAAGCCCTTTGTCCAGAGCCAGGAATGATCAGGGCTCTGGACCATGGGGGCAGGAGGTGCTGAGGGGCAAGAGCGGAAAGGGACTTTTCTGTGTGTCAGCTGAGAGATGACGATGTGGGTTTGCAGGAGGAGACCAGAGGCACAGCGTGGGTCACACCAGAGCCCTTGTCTAGAGGGCAGGAGAGTGCATTGAAAGTGAGACTCTGAGGGCCCTTCCAGAGAGGAACTTGTGCCTCCTGGGGCTCTCCTATTGGCCCTCAGGAAGGGTGTGGTAAGCACTGCTTACCCAGAAAGTGCCTGTTTCCCCAGAGCCATCTGGTGACAGCCTGTCTGACCATGGCCCTGCCATCCCCGGGCCAGGACCCCTGGAGTCTCCTGGGTGTTTTTTTCTTCCAACTGCTCCTGCTGCTGTCACTGTCACCTGCTGCCGGGACTGGTGGGCAGGGGCCCATGCCCAGAGTCAAATATCATGCAGGTAAGTGTCTGGTGACTGGGAGGCATGGGTGTCAATATAAAGACGAAGGGGTCAAGGGAGGAGCAGGGGCTGTCAGAGGGAGGACAATGGGTTGGAGAGACAGAGATGCCGGGGAGCAGTGGAGGGCCTGGGAAGAGGGGGGCCAGAGCCAAAGTCCACGACAGATTGTTCATGGAGCTGGTGAGTCCAAGCCAACCGCAGAAATCACACCAGGCCGTGTTGTATGCGATAGATTGGGCGCCAGGGGAAGACACCACGGACAGCTCACGGGGGGGGGGGGGGGGTGGAGCCTGGTGCCAGCCTCAGTGGTTTCCTGCTGGGGCTTCTGAACCCTCTTGTTCTAGGAAATGCCCCAAGGGAAGTGCTTCACACACACACACACACTCCACACCACTGGTTCAGAAGCTAGGCAGCTCTGTTCTCAGCTTAGAAGCCTTCTGAGGCAGAATGGCAAAGGAGATGTAGGTTCAGTGGAAAGAGAGGCATCCCTGGGTGCGATGGGAGTGCAAACACCAGCAAGACTGCGTCTCAGGGGAAACAGGGTGAGGCCTCAGGGTGGGAGCAGAGTTGAGGGCAGGGCAGCCCGTGCGGTACCTTTCCCGCTTGGTCTCCCAATTCCTCTTGGTCCTAAGATTCCTTGAGACGAAAATGGTAACGACCAGGCTGTCCTCTGACTAACACAAAAGTCCAAACGTGCTGAGGAGGGTCTGAGGCGCTCACTCTTCCTGGCTGATGCGCAGGAGCTCACGCATTCGCATATGTCTGAGTGCACACACAGCGCCACAGTAGGTAGGGAGCGCCACAGTAGGTAGGGAGCGGGCCCTAGTAACCAACTTGCTTAGTCTGTCCAGGTGGCATTCAGGCATGCCCATACTGACAGGGCTCAGAAAGGCAGAGGACACGGCCTTTCTAGTCACAGCGTTACTAGTGGTGGGAGACTCCCATAACAGAGCAAGGGAAGGAAGCAGGGCGCGTGCAGGTGGCAAGACACTTGCCTCAGCTGCTTGTGGCTGAGAACCCTTCCTGTGTCTACCTGTCATCTGTCCTCTCCCATCCTGCCTCAGTGCAGCGCCCCGGGCCAGCGAATGCATCTTCTAGCCTCATTCATTTCCTGCCTGGGCCTTGAGCAGCTTTCCCCCTCTCCACCAGCACCAGACTGTCACTACCTTGTTCTGGGGACTCAACACACAAAGTTCAGATGCCTGCCTGCTATTGGGGGTTCGGGAAAGGGGGCTGACCAGACCAGCCACCTCTCCCTGACCTTTGTCTCAGGAAATAGATGCTCCTCATCTTCTCCTTGTCACTGTCTCTCAACAGGAGATGGGCACAGAGCCCTCAGCTTCTTCCACCAAAAAGGCCTCCAAGACTTTGACACGCTGCTCCTGAGCGCCGATGGCAACACTCTCTATGTGGGGGCTCGAGAGGTCATCCTGGCCCTGAATATCCAGAACCCAGGAATCCCCAGGCTGAGGAATATGGTGAGGAGGCCAGAGATAAAGGGTCTGGCTGAAGTGAGGACAGATGCTGCCTGGGACCAGCATGCTTCGTATAAATGGCCAGCTGCCGCTCTCTGAATCAGCAGTGGCGAGATGGAAATGCCTTTGTGCTCTCGCTATTTGTCGAGGCCGTGAATACCGACTGAGTAGAACCGGCTGCTGAAATGGCTGATACGGAAATCACTGGCATAGGAGAAAAACATTGACTCAAATCAGTGACTCAAACCATTTGATGTGTACCTACTTATGAGAGAACTCCTTGATTCTTGTGTTATCATCCCCCTAATGATAGCAATCTGAGGGAAAGAGGGCAGGGGAGGAAGGAAGGTCCATGGATTTTTCTTAGCAGGTGGTCTCTTGGCTATGGGCTATGGGTTAAAATTCCAGAAGTTCAGTGGCAGGGCACTTTGTCTAGAGTGTGGCAGGCCCTAGGTTTGATGTCTGCACCCTCCTCTGCAGTTTATCTAAGGGATGGCTCAAGAGCTGACAGTCTCCCCAGGAAATGTGTGGGTTATAACCATTGCCATGCATGCCATCTAGCTGCAGCCACCAGCAGGCTGTGAAACTGCGCAAGAGTGCACAGTTCGCCGGTAGCAGAGCCTAGGTTTGAACTCAGATCCATCAGCTTCTACCACAGAGCCATGTCCTGATGAACGCTAATTATGTGGAAGTCATAGTCCTAATTAACTGGTATCACCACTAACCACCTTACTGGTGTTTTTACACCAGAGCTGGAGAGGGAGGGATGGTGGCTTACAGAAAAACCAAAGACTCCATTTCATTTGCTCCTCTTCACTTTCTGCTTCAGATACCCTGGCCAGCTAGTGAGAGGAAAAAGAGTGAATGTGCCTTTAAGAAGAAAAGCAATGAGGTAAGTAGAGTGAGTGGTGCATAGGGACCCCGCCCATAGAAGCCTGGTGTACCTAAGCCCATCACTGGTGACCTGAGAGGTGGGCACAGAGGGGCCTGTCCCTGTGGTTTTGCCTGGATCATGTCCCATCAAGTTTCTCAGTGCTGATCTCAGCCCTTCTCTCCACTGGGAATTGGAGAGCAGCCTTTAAGACCCCAGGAGTTTGGGGTGAGTGGCCTGGCAACTTGATTTCTCTGCTTCCCCCTAGACGCAGTGTTTCAACTTCATCCGTGTCCTGGCCTCTTTCAATGCTACCCACCTCTATACCTGTGGGACCTTTGCCTTCAGCCCTGCCTGTGCCTTCATTGTGAGTCCCCGACACACCCACTTGCTCGCAGGCCCCCAACCCCTCCTCTCACACCCACCCCTGCCTATTCTCAGAAGCCTTGGGAATTTCTGGTCCCTGAGGACCCTCGTAAGATTTCTGGCCCCAGACAAATGTCCCTCTCTGTCCCCTTTACTCCCTCCCTCATGCTCCTCATCTATGAGATGTGCGACCCTGGCATTCTGGGCTCCCAGCCTCTTCCCCCCTCTAGGAACTTCAAGATTCCTACCTGTTGCCCATCTTAAAGGACAAAGTCATGGATGGAAAGGGTCAAAGCCCCTTTGACCCTGTTCACAAACACACAGCTGTCTTGGTTGGTGAGTATCAGGCTTCCCAGACCATACTAAAACTTGCCTGTTCTAGTCACTTTGGGAAAAGTGAGGCATGATAGTTTTTCAAAGAAAAGGACAGATGGAACAAGAAGCTTCGGAAGGCAGGATCAGAGGAAGAATCAGGAAGCCCAAGGGGGTGTAAGGAAATCCATGTGGGAAGATGCTAGGCCTTATGGTCTGGTAAGGCAGGCACCAGATGAGCCCTGAGGTTCAGCCACTTGCTTAACCACTGAGCATGGGCGAATGCCTTTCCTGATGCGCTCCACATTGAGCTGGGTCCTGAAGGGGCTACAGCAAAGAAGTCATGTGTCTCTGCCCAACACTGACTGTCACAGACTTCCCAGCCTGGCTTCCTACAGATGGATGTTGCTTTTTGAGCAGACTTAAAAGATAAGCAGGGACCCAGGGTGTGTGAGCGCAAGTCAGGGGTATTCTGGGGTTGGTGTTTAAGAAAGGATCAGAATAAGGCTGGCAAGTGCTCAATACAAAAGGCTTCACAGGCCATTGCCTGTGGCCAGAGGGATCTAAGAAAGGTGCCTGCTGTGTGTGTGTGGGGGGGGAGGCGGTATGAGCTGGCTTTGGGGTTCTGCAAGAGGGAATGGAATAGAAGGAAGGCATGTCTGAGGACGGCAGGCAGCCTCCCCTGATACACTTGCTTCTCCCTCTCCCTGGTCCTAGATGGGATGCTCTATTCTGGCACCATGAACAACTTCCTGGGCAGCGAGCCCATCCTGATGCGCACGCTGGGATCCCAGCCTGTTCTCAAGACTGATGTCTTCCTACGCTGGCTGCACCGTAAGGACCTGACTCCAGTCAACATGAGTTTGGGCCCCCTTCCTTATCCTGGGTCTGTGATTTGCTTTAACTCACTTGGCTTTCTTTGGAAAAATGAATTAGAGAAGTGCACGCAACTGGCTGGGGTGGTGCACGACTTTAATCCCAGCATTTGGGAGGCAGAGGCAGCAGCAGGTGGATCTCTGAAGGGAAGGCAGCCTGGTTTACATCGTGAGTTTCAGGCCAGCCAAAACTATAGTGAGATCTTATCTCAAAAAGGAAAAAGAGTACACATTATGTCTCAACGGGCTGTGGGATAGGAGGTAACCTCTGTTCTGGCCCTCAGAGCCCACCTAAAGGTGTCACCAAGGGAACTCTGAGCATCCTGATAGTCAGTCCCTAAGTCTAACTGCCCTGCCTCTCCCGCCCCCCGCAGCGGATGCCTCCTTCGTGGCAGCCATTCCATCCAACCAGGTCGTCTATTTCTTCTTCGAGGAGACAGCTAGCGAGTTTGACTTCTTTGAGGCTCTGTACACATCCAGGGTGGCTCGAGTCTGCAAGGTCTGCCCCTTGGTCTGGCGGAGGGCTGGCTGGCTGCCAGGGAGCCAATGGGAGCGGGGAGAGGTGGATGGGGCGGGTCCTTGCGCGACTCCATGGGTTCCCCTAGAACGACGTGGGTGGCGAGAAGCTGCTGCAGAGGAAGTGGACCACCTTCCTGAAAGCCCAGTTGCTCTGCGCCGAGCCAGGTCAGCTGCCATTCAACGTCATCCGCCACGCAGTCCTGCTGCCCGCCGGTTCTCCCTCTGCTTCCCGCATCTATGCAGTCTTTACCTCCCAGTGGTGAGCAGCATGGCAGGGGAAAGGAGGGCTTCAGTCAGGGATCCAAGGGAGGCGGGAGCTGATGAAAACCTACTTTATAACACTGTACTTTACATAGGAAGGCATTTGAGGAGCGGCACCGGACCGCAGGGATCCTACTGTCTTTCATGCACAGGGTGAAACGAAGCGCAGAGACTAGTTTAATTGTGCCTGGTTCCGAAAAGGATGGAAGGAAGCTTAGAGAAGGCAGATACTAAAAATCATCAAAACACCCAGCGTGGTGGCACAGGCCTGTGATCTCAGCACTTGGAAGGTAGAGACTTGCAAGGAATTGGAGGACAGTCTGGACTACACAGAGAGAGGTTGTCTCAAACGAAACAAAACATTGGTAAAACAGAGCTAGACATGATGATGAGGAAAGAAGCTCAGGGGTTTAAGGACTAATGTCTCAAAATTAAACAAGGGCAGGGCTCGTAGCTCAGTCAGTAGTGTTTGCCTAGCATGTACAAAGCCTTGGGTTTGATCCCCAGCATCAGGTAAGTCAGGGACGGTGGTACAAGGGGCACATGAGAAGAAAAGACAGGATTAGACATTCAAGGCTACAGGAGACTGTCTCAAAACGACTAAACAAAGCCCATCAATTAGGTAAGGAAATAGAAGAAAAAGGAAATTACCAGCAGGTAGGGAGAAGATCTGCATAGCACAAAAGCTACTGTAATACTAGCCACGCATTTAACACCAGCTTCCTGATAGTCAGGGCCAAGAGGGAGACTGCTGATTGAAAAAAAAAAAAAAAGAGGAAAGCCTTGCTCATGACCAAGAAACGTTAAATGATTTGCCAAAGGTCCCACATCTACATCTACAGTTTGGCATCTTCGTGTTAGGCATCTGCCAGCAGTGTGCCAGGAAGAAAGGTTTCTGGTATGCAGGGTCTGATATCAGTGAAAGGCGGAGCTGAAGAGAGTATGGGAGGGAGACGTATGGGTTCAACACAGACCGAGACAGAAGAAATAGCAAAGCTGTGGTTTACTTTCTGAGGGCCAAGAATCCAAGGGACTTAAAGAAGGAAGGCTACGTGTGAACCCAGCCTGAAGCCGGTTCTACCACTCTTCCTGTGGGCACAGCCCAGCCTGGGCAGGACAAGCAGGGGCCACCCCAGGGCCTATGCCCCAATTAATCCTCATTAGGAACAATCATATTTCAGATCCTGCGATGGGCTTCTAGCCAGGTCTTAGGCCAGAGCCAGGGAACCCTCTGGGGCTCTCAGGTCCTTATCATAAGCAAGGCTGGCCTGGCTCCTACCCTCCAGGCCTGCTGGAATTCCACTGAGTTCAACCGGGGCTGGAGGGGCAATGGCTGCAAGGAGGAAACCCCAGTGAGCACCCTCTCTGGCTGTCTCCAGGCAGGTCGGTGGGACGCGGAGCTCTGCGGTCTGTGCCTTCTCTCTCGCGGACATAGAGCGTATCTTTAAAGGAAAGTTCAAGGAGCTGAACAAGGAAACTTCTCGATGGACCACTTACAGGGGCCCTGAGGCCAACCCGAGGCCAGGCAGCGTGAGTACCACCTACTCCTCCCAGAGCCTCCCGGAATGCATGTAAAAGCACCATCGTGGCATGGTAAATCCACACACCAGCCCATATGCCACAGATGTCCAATATTGCCCTACATCCAGAACAATTGCCAGGGCCACCTCTTTCCTTGCTAAGTGAACACCAAATACCTGGTTGTATCACTGAAGAATTAAGAGCACCTGGGTGGGGTGCCAAGTACAGGGAAGCTTCACCCACATTTTGTAGTTTTCAGATTGGGTCTCAAGTAACCCAGGCTGGCCTTGAACTCCTGATTACCCTGACTCACCTCCCAAATGCCTAGAGTTCAGGCACACACCCTGTCCAGCTTTTCACCTGCTAACCTCCTGTAACTTTTTAAAATCTGAATTATATGTGCCCTGTTTAAGGAATCAAATAGGCCAAGTGCAGGGGTGCATGCCTGTCATCTCGGCACTTCGGTGGAAGTAGAGACAGGGGGATCAATGCAAACTCAAGGCAAGCCCGGGCTACACAGCAAGATTCTATCTCAAAGATATCAGAATGGGTAAATAAATACAAAATCAAGGAAATCTTCTGGAGTGGTGCTGAACCACCATTCCCATCCAAGGCTGGCCTGGAACTCGCCTCCCACCCCTGCCCCAAGTGCGGGGGGGGGGGGTGTTACAGGTGTGTAGTACCGCTCCCATCCCTCTCTGGCGTATCTCTTTTCAATCTTGTGCCCGGCGTCATAACATTGGTAGCTTGGAATCATTTTTAAAGGCAGCGTGCACCTTGGAAACTAGCAAATTCTGCAAATCAGCTTGCCATTCCCTTCCTTCCCAGTGGACTATTTCTAACCACTGTGTGAGCATCAGAAGGTAGGCTTTTCTTTTTAGTTTTGAGAATCCCAGAACCTCATGAGTGCCAGGCAGGTGCTTTAACACTAAGCCACCCTACTAATTGTTGAAACATTTACTTATTTGTTGTCTGTGAATATGTGTGCGGGTGCATGTGTGCCAGGGCATATGTGTGAAGGTCAGGGGACAACTTTGGGGAGTTGGTTTCCTTCTACCATTGTCAGATTTACCTCCTGAGCCATCCCACCAGCCCCTGTCAGTAATTTGGCAGGATTAATATATGGCAGGAATTAATAAATTTGGCAGGAATAATATGACTTATTCACAGTTGAGCCAAGCAGTAAGCCACAATTACTTTTCCTTTTTACATACTTTTTTATTTTCCTGGGGTTAGTAGTTATCCTAGTCTTTTTTGCTTGCTTTTTCTAAGGTCTTAGACTCATTTCTACCTCTTCCTGGATCTCCTGCAGTCAGACCGTTGGCTCTTTAAACAGTTCCACTCTCCAGGAAAGCCTATTGGCTGCATCTTAGGCTGCTGACCTCCAGGTCTGCAGTAGCCACAGCAGCACCGCCCGGTAGCTTCCCTTCCCACTCTTCCTGGAGAGTCCTTTGGCCGCTCTCCAATGACCTATCTTCAGTTTCATGCATGTATCCCATGACTGCATCTTCCTTTCCTTTTCCATCTTTTTTACTTTCTCCTCTCTCTCTCTCTCTCTCTCTCTCTCTCTCTCTCTCTCTCTCTCTCTCTCTCTCTCTCTCTCCATTCTCCACTCTGAGATAGGGTTTCTCTGTGTAATGGCTCAGGGTGTCCTAGAACTTGCTCTGTAGACCAGGCTGACCTCAAACTCATGGAGATACCCCTGCCTCTGCCTCCTGAGTGCTGGGATCAAAGGTGTGGGCCACCATCGCTCAGCGAGGCTCACTCGGTTGCCTGTAGCTTCCAGAGCTGTTTGGATTTGTCTTAAGTTGTTTGGGCACCTAACCCTCTGGATGTCACTTGTTTTCTCTCACTGGACTATTTAATGTTTAAATTGTATATTTGTTTTGTTGTTTGCTTGTTTTGTGTGAGGGGTCAGAGGACAGCTTACGGGAGTCGCCTCCCTCCTTCAGTTAGGGAGAGAGCACAGGGCATCCTTATGTTTGGCAGCAAGCACCTTTACCTGCTGAACCATCTGGGTGTCCCTTGTGCTCACATATTCCACACTGAGCTTCCATGGATTTTGTGTTGCACTGGACGCCCAGGGAAGCACTTCAACCTGGAAATTTTATTTTCTTCAGTGCTAAGAAACTTTTCTATGCTCATTGTCTCAGCCCCCGTTCTGTTGTTGTGAGGGGACACCGTGGCTAAGAAAGCTTATAAAAGAAGGCGTTTAATCCAGTGTGTGTGTCGGGGAGGCGCTTGCTTACAGTTTCAGAGGGTGCCTAGGAGTCCAGACGTGGGCACTGGATCCTCTGAAACTGGAGTTACAGATGCTGTGAGCCACCAAGTAGGTGCCGGGGACTGAACTCAGGTCCTCTGCAACCGCTGAGCCATCTCTCCAACTCTTATTTTAAGTTTTTGAAACAGATTTTACTATGTGACTCGGCCTGGCCTCAACCTTGCAATTCTCTTTCCTCTGTCTTTGAAGTGCTGGGATGACAGACATGTGCCACCATTCACAGCTCAGACTTCTAATAATCCAGTAGTGTCACCCATATCATAAAGGGGCCTTGGTGTGTGTGTGTGTGTGTTCTAGGCCACAGGTTGGTGTTCTGTTTCTTCCTCAATTGTTTCACCATCTCTCCCCCCACCCCTTTTTCTTGTACTACGCTGGCCTAGCTGGCCTAGAACTCACTATTTAAACCAGGTTGACCTTGGACTGACAGAGATCTGTCTACTTTTGCTTTCCATATGTTAGGGCTACTGTGCCCAGCCTTCCGTCTTGCTTTTTTGAGACTGATCTCACTAAACCTGGAGCTCATGGATTGGCTAGCTTGCTTGGCCGTCAAGCCCTAGAGATCCTTCCAGCTCTGGGACTACAGGCACACACTGACTTTTATGGGGATACCCAGAACCCAAACTCAGATCCTTATACTTGTACATTTATTGATTAAGCTCTAGCCTTCCCCCAACCCCTGCACTTTTTTCTTTGTGTAGTTCTGGCTGTCTTGGAACTCACTCTGTAGACTGGGCTGGCCTCAAACTCAGAGAGCTGCTTGCCTCTGCCTCTAGAGTGTTAGGATTAAAGGTATGAGCCACCAGCACCCAGCTAGATTTTTTTTGTTTGTTTGTTTTTGTTTTGTTTTGTTTTTTAAGTCTCTTATCATTTGTACTTTCTTTTTTGGTTTTTGAGACAGGGTTTCTCTGTAGCTTTGTAGACCAGGCTGGCCTCAAACTCACAGAGATCCGCCTGCCTCTGACTCCTAAGTGCTAGGATTAAAGGCGTGCACCACCACCTGGCTCTTTTTCTTTTTAAGATTTATTTTTATAGCTAGGGTATTTATTTTTGTTTATGAGTATGTATATGTGTGTTTCTGTGTGTGCCACATATGTGCAAGAACAGAACACCAACCTGTGCCTATAACATGGATGCACACACACACACACATATGTACACACACACACACCAAGACCAGAAGAAGTGTCAGAACCCCTGAAGCTGAAGTTAAGAGTCAGCCACACATGGGGCTGGAGAGGTGGCTCAGAGGTTAAGAGCACTGGCTGCTCTTCCAGAGATCCTGAGTTCAATTCCTAGCAACCACATGGTGGTTCACAACCATCTGTAATGAGATCTGGTGCCCTTTTCTGTCATGCAGACATACATGCAGGCAGAACACTATACATGACAAATAAATCTTAAAAAGGAAAAAAGTCAGCTGCACAACACAAGCATTCTCCATCAATGATCTCAATGATCTCTCCCCTTTTGTCTTGCAGGTGACTTGTTTGTCTTACAGAGTTGTCTAGTCTAGATCCTAGTGATGTTTCTGTGATGTAGTTTATCTAGTCTGTGTGAGAGAGAGAATGTGACTGTGAGTGTGTGTGTGAGAGAGACAGAGGGTATATGTGTGTGTGTGTGAGAGAGAGAGTGTGTGTGTGTGAGAGAGAGAGCTCTTAGCTGGTCTTGAACTCACAGCAAACCTTCTCTGTCAGGCCGAGTGTGATGGGTTGATAGGTGTGAGCCACCACTTCTGACTTCCTCTTTGGTTTGTGTGTCTTCCTTCCTTCCTTCCTTCCTTCCTTCCTTTTTCCTGTGTGGTTTAGTTTCTGTCTTTCTTGTTTGTAGTTTTACCCTCGAATCCACTGTTCCTTGGCTTTGCACCTACTTACATAAAATGTGGTGGCTCACACCTGTAATTCCAGTACTCAGGAGACTGAGACAGATTGAGAGTTCAAGGCCATGTCTGGAATTTTATTAAAGTGTGGGAGTCTGGACAGGTGGTTCAGTGGTTACGAGTGCTTACTGTTTTTGCAGAGGACCTGAGTTCGGTTCCCAGTACCCATGTCAGGCAGCTCCAGGGGATCTGATACCTCTGGCCTCCACAGGCACCTGAACTCTTGTGCACACAGACGTACATAAAAAAAAAAAGCAATAAAATGGAATATTTTTAAAATATTTAAGGAAAAAGCCTCCATAGCAGGAGACAAGAATAGGTTCGTGTATTCTCTGCTGGCACAGAAAAGGGATGTCGATGTTGTCATCTCCTTTACAGTTGAGGGGTTTGCAGCTCAAAGGGGTGAAGTAACTTGTGTTACTACACCTTGTAGTAACTACACTGCACAGCTTGTAGGTGACAGTGGACTGGCTTCGGGGTGGTGCCCTTGGACAGGAAGGATGGTCGTCTTGAGCGAAGACTCTCTCAGTTGACAGGGCCTTCAAAGAACAGCTGCTCCAACACCCTCGAGTATGAGTGGAAAAAAAAAAAAAAAAAGAGGGCTCAGAATGGAGGAGGAACTCCCCCAAGTCACGAAGCAAGTTCATGAAGAGCTGCCACACAGCCCTTCTCTGTCACACCTCCATTCTGTCACTGACTCAGCACTGACTGTGCTGGCTTCTATGCCATGCCTGGGACCACAGACCCCAAAAAGCCGGGCGTTTGCCCGAAGGAGCCTTTGCCTGCTTCATGCTGGCTTTGATGCAGGAGGCCCCGAAGGCCAGGACAGTCAGAACAGCTAGCATGGTAGGTGCTCTGCGCTGGTCACTTTCCATGTATCAGAGCATTTACGCCTGACGGAGAGCCTGGAGGCACTGGACCTGAGTTTTACCCACACCGTGAACTGAGTAGTGCCCGGAGGAAAGAGGGCACGGGAGGGGTGTAGTGAGAGGAGGGTAGGGGTGCAGCCGTGTATGAGCTGAAGGGAAAGTACCAGCTGACACAGTCTGTTTCCTTCCTCCTCTAGTGCTCCACGGGGCCGTCCTCTGACAAAGCCTTGACCTTCATGAAGGACCATTTTCTGATGGATGAGCATGTCGTAGGAAGGCCGCTGCTGGTGCAGTCTGGTGTAGAATACACACAGCTTGCAGTGGAACAAGCTCAGGGTCTTGATGGCAGCAGCCATGTGGTCATGTACCTGGGCACGTGTGAGTATGGGGTTCTGGAATATACCTGCATGACCAGAGCAGGGACTGCACCCAGATTGAGGCAGGACGACTTTGAGTTCATCCAAGTTTTCAGTTCATTCATTCAACAGGTGGTTCGGGTGGGAGCCCCCTGCTGGACTCTGGAGACAGTGGAGTGTGGCTGGACCCTGTCTCTAGCCTTTCTGAGCTTTTCAGTCTGCTGGGGAATACACCCTGGATCTTCTCTGGTCTTAGAAAAAGCTGCCTGCCTTCTGGGAGAAACCATACCAGAGGCAGAAGGCATGGGTAGAGTGGGAATTATGACTGAAGGGGCCATCAAGGGTGCCCTGGAGAAGGTAGGAGCCAGGCCCTTATTTTATTTACTTGTTTGTTTGTTTGTTTATGAGAGTCTTGCTCAGCCCTTGCTGGTCTCAAACTTACTATGTAGCTAAGACTGACCCTGAACTTCTGACCCACCTGCTGGACTTCCAAATGCAGGGATCACAGTGTGCCCCTGCCCCCACACGGCAGGCCTGCTTTTATGTGGATGGGGATCTAGATCAGGGCTTTATGAGCTTCAGGCAAGCACTCTACCAGCTGGGGTAGGTTCTCAGCCCCCCCACTTTTGAATAGACAGAAAAGACCAAAAGGATCCAGTGGAGAGGGCGATGCCAAGAAGGCAGGAGAGGAAACGCTTGGCAGGTCAAGCTGTGAAGGCAGCAGGAGGCGGGGCTGGAGACCCAGGGGGCTGATGTCTGGAAGCCTCTGAGTCCTCTAGGAGGCAGGAGGACCAGAGCCAGGAGCCAAGAATGAGGGTGGGCTTAGGAGAGAGGGACAGTCCGCTGGGGGTGTGGCTAGACAGCCACAGTGCTTCACTGGGAGAGACTGTCTTCCTTCACTCTTCCAGGCCATGCTAAGAGGCCTGTCTTGGCTACGCATTTGCTGAGCATACAGTAGGAAAGACACAAACAAAAATCCCCATGCTTGTGGAGTGGGTGGAGACAGACCCTAATGGTTGTGAATGAGAACACTGCATAGAGCTTTAGCTAGAGAACCAGGCAGAGCAGGGCAAGGGGGTCCTGCCAGGGGAGTCTGCCTTCTTTAGTGACAGGATCTCATTCTGTCACTCAAGGGAGGTGACAACTTTGTAAATTATTTATTTTGGTTTTTCAAAACAAGGTTTCTCTGTGTAACAGCTCTGGCTGTCCTGGAACTCGCTTTGTAGAACAGGCTGGCCTCGATCTCACAGGTAGACCTGTCTGCCTCTGCCTCCTGTGTGCTGGGACTAAAGGCATGTGCCACCACCGCCTGGCCTTTTATTTTATTTTTGAGACAGGGTCTTGCTATGTAACCCTTGGCTGGGCTGACACTATATAGACCAGGCTGGCTCAGAACTTAAAAAGGTTTTCCTGCCTCTCTGCCTCCCAATTGCTGGAATTAGAAGATGGACCACCATGCCTTGTCCTTTTTGTTGTTGTTGGGTTTTGTTTGTTTGTTTTTTTGAGACAGGGTCTCATTCTATAGTTCAGGCTGGCCAGGAACTCATAATTCTCTTACCTCAGATTTCTGGGTGCTGGGAAGTTGCAGCTATTAAAAAGGTGGTCAGAGCAGGGCTTGGTGTTGTGAGCTTTGTATCCTAGTTACCTGAGAGGATTGAGGCAGGAAGATTGTATATAGTCCAGCCTGGGTTACAGAGTAAGACCCTGTCTCAGAAAGTTAAAAGAGGGCTGAGAAAGCAGCTCAAGGGGAGAGCACTTGCCTACCTGTGAGAGGCCCTGGATTAAGACAGGCTGGGGAGATGGATGGCTCAGTTGTGAGGACCTGAACTCAGAGGCTCAGCACCCATGGGAAAACTGGGAGCTGCACTGGGTACCTATCAAACCAACACCGGGGGCAGAGGGTGGGGCAGATGGGTGGATCCCTGGTGCTTATTTACTAGGCAGCCAGTCTAGACTGACTCCAAGTTCAATGAGAGACCTTGCTCAGCAAATCCAGTAGAGTGACTGAGTGAAGTAGCTCTGTCCTCTACGTGCATGTGGGTATGCACACCTGGAAGGTACATGCATCACACACACACACACACACACACACACGCACGCACGCACGCACGCACGCACGCACGCACGCACACACACACACACACACACACAGAGAGAGAGAGAGAGAGAGAGAGAGAAAGAGCTGGCTATAATAGCGCGCTGTCTGTCCCTGGGCCAGGGAGGGACTGAGACTGAGTGGCCTGGATACTCTGCCTGGCTTGCAGGGGAGGTGTGTGAGGGCAGTGAGGGGCAGCTCCACCTTCTCTTTGTCTCCCCAGCCACAGGATCCCTGCACAAGGCTGTGGTTCCTGAGAACAGCAGTGCTTATCTTGTGGAGGAGATCCAGCTGAGCCCTGAGCCTGAGCCTGTTCGAAACCTGCAGCTGGCCCCCACTCAAGTGAGAAGAGACGGGAACGGAATATAATCATTCTACGGGGATGACCTGGGGAGCCTGGGCCAGGGTGCTGGGGCTCCTGACCCCCTCCGTCTCTCTTCCAGGGTGCAGTGTTTGCAGGCTTCTCAGGAGGCATCTGGAGAATTCCCCGGGCCAATTGCAGTGTCTATGAGAGCTGTGTGGACTGTGTCCTTGCCAGGGACCCCCACTGTGCCTGGGACCCTGAGTCAAGAATCTGCAGCCTTCTGTCTGGCTCCACCCTGTGAGTGTTGGTCCTGAATGGTGGCTGAAGACAGTCTGTCAGGGCTCCCCTTACACAGCTTCTGCCACTATTCCTGCCCTCCGACACATTCACTCCCAGATTCCACTCCTCTGGTTTGTTTCTCACAGGTGGCCTTCTGCAGAGCAGTTGTGAAGCTGCCCGTTTTCTTCTACCTGGTCTTCCTAGCCCACCTTCTTCCTTTTGCCCCCCCCCCCCCTTCGGTCTGTTTTAAGAGCTGAGTTTGTTTCCTTGCCTTCTCAGGAGTTCCTGGAAACAGGACATGGAACGAGGCAACCCGGGCTGGGCATGTGCCCGTGGTCCCATGGCCAGGAGTCCCCGGCGTCAGAGCCCCCCTCAACTTAGTGAGTGTGGGGACAGAGGAGGTGCCCAGGCACCAAGGGCTTTGGGTAGGGCTGGCTTTTCTGCCCCATGGCTTCTGCAGCACCTGCCTAGGCTGAGACCTAAATCCCTGAGTCAGGATGGATTGGAACCTGGCCGTGGATAGGAGAGGCATTCTGAGCTGGAGCGCACTAGGGTGCCGGCTGAGGTTGATGTGGGTTTGGTGTCTGAGTTGGAATGAGGAATGCTGGAGGCTTGCCTATCACTACCTACACCATGCTAAACAGGCCAGACCTTGGCTGATTTCAGGAGCTCGGGGTTGGACCTGGTTGGATGTTAGTGGGAGAAAGAGTGGGGGCTGGTTTGGAGTCTAGCTTGGAGGCAGAGAAGGGGTGAGCCTTGAGTTTGGGAGTTGAATGGAATCAGAAGACAGACAGACATGGTGGTCATACCAACAATCCTAGACATCCGGCTAGCTTGGGCTACAGAGTGGAACCAGATGCAAATAAGGCTGTCTGTCCCCCCCCCCCCCCCCCCCCCCCTTCCTCCTCTTTGCTGCCCTCCAGTTAAAGAAGTCCTGGCAGTCCCCAACTCCATCCTGGAGCTGCCCTGCCCTCACCTGTCAGCACTGGCGTCTTACCACTGGAGTCACGGCAGAGCCACAATTCCAGAAGCCTCTTCCACTGTCTACAATGGCTCCCTCTTGCTACTGCCTCAGGATGGTGTTGGGGGCCTCTACCAGTGTGTGGCCACTGAGAACGGCTACTCATACCCTGTGGTCTCCTACTGGGTAGATAGCCAAGACCAGCCCCTGGCTCTGGATCCTGAGCTAGCGGGCGTTCCCCGGGAACGTGTGCAAGTCCCACTGACCAGGGTCGGTGGTGGAGCTTCCCTGGCTGCCCAGCGGTCCTACTGGCCCCATTTTCTCATCGTCACTGTCCTCCTGGCCATAGTACTCTTAGGAGTACTCACTCTCCTCCTTGCTTCCCCACTGGGAGCACTACGGGCTCGGGGCAAGGTTCAGGGCTGTGGGACACTACCCCCCAGGGAAAAGGCCCCACTGAGCAGGGAACAGCATCTCCAACCCTCCAAGGACTACAGGACCTCTACCAGTGACGTAGATGCTGACAACAACCATCTAGGCACAGAAGTGGCTTAAACTGAGGGCACAGATGGGAGCTAAACACAGCAAGTCCCTGGCCCTGTTGTTTGGGCCAGGCACAGTACCACTCCCACTGGGGTGGGAGGCTCTCCTGCTACTGCGTGTCACCTACAGCACCCAGTAGGGCCTCCCCTGTGGGACTCTCTTCTGTAAGCACATGGACTATCTCCACACCGGCACCCCTGCCGGGACAGGAAGAACCAGACAGGAGTCTTCAGTTTTGATCAACCAATCCCAAGAGCTCCAGGAGACCCTGAAAGGCGTGGCTGTCCACGACTCTGTGATGACAACTCAGAGCCATCTGAGCAAGCTGGGGCTGTTCCCCAAAACTCCATTCCGGAAGCTGTCACTCTGGAAGCTGCTGCTGCTTTGAACACCAGCCTTCCTTTCTCCTGGGTCTTCCCCTCTGCTTCCCTTGCCAATCATGCCCTACTGTTTGGGAAGTCCTTTCTGAAGTCTGACCACCTCCCTTGTTGCTTCAGTTTAGACAGATCGTTACTGTCTCTGCCCTGGCTAGAATGGCAGGCATAATCTGAGCCTTGTTCACTTGTCATGTGTGGCTGACCTCCTCCCCTCTTGGACTCTTTCCCTCCTCTTCCCTTTGTTTTGGGATTCAGAAAACTGCTTGTCACAGACAATTTATTTTTTATTAAAAAAGACATAAGCTTTAAACAAAGCTTAGGATGTGCTGTTTTCACGTAGCCAAGTTCCCACCAGGAGAGCCTGTGTGTAGGATGAGAGCTTGGGTGGCACCCGCCTGACAGCCCCAGCCTGCCCCAGCCAACCCCTCCCTGAGCACCAGGCAGAGCCAGGACTGTGTGGACAGCCTCAGCGCTGCCTGCTAGACATTGTGGCCACCGCACCTGCTGTCCCCGGCGTCCCCACGCTCATCGTGACTCCAGTTCAGCTCTGCCCACAGAAGCTCCACCACCACCCCCACTCTGGCCCCCATCGCTCTGCACAGCCGACAAGCAGGCTCTCTCTGCCCACACCTCCACACCGCCTTTTCCTCCCTCTGCCAGGAAGTCACACATCGGTCTGCAACTAAGACTGTCCCCGTTCTCTAGTGTGACTCCCAGCAAGGCTCCCCCTCAACTAACTGGTTCCCTCCTCCTGACTACAGGTGTGTACATGGCGCGAAAAACAGATCGCACGGGTTTAGGGGTACCCACCTGTGGCCCCAGTACTCAGGAGGCAGAGCCAGGAGAAGCAGGAGCTGAAAACTAGCCTTGGCTACATAGTTAAGCTGAGGCCAAGCTGGGCTACAAGAATGTCTCAGAACATCAAAACTGAAAAGCCAGTAACTTCCCTGGCTCCTCTGCCTATTCAGTCTGTACTTGGGTCCCCTTTTCTATGACCACTGAACGCCAGAGTAGCCTACCTTTGTCCCTTCCCCTAGTTCTCTTTAACCCTGTGCTGTGGCTCTCCCCACCTCTCTGCTCAGCCAGCCACCCACAGGTGCCCCTGCCTCACCAACCTTCTACTGAAAGGGTTTTAGAGCCAGCAAGATGACTCAACGGGAAAGGCACTTGCCACCAAGCCTGTCTGACCTGAGTTCAGTCCCTGCGACCCACATGGTAGACTGAAATCCGAGCTCTACACATATATGTCCACACATATAAATGAATAAATGTCATACGAAATTTTGTTTTTAATTGTGGGGGCTGGAGAGATGGCTCAACAGCTAAGAGCACTGCCTGCTTTTCCAGAGGACTCAGGTTCACTTCCCAGCACCCACGTGGCAGCTCAGTCTGTAGCTCCAGTTCCAGGGGATCTGACATCCTCAAACACACATGCACGCAGGCAAGACACCAATGCACATAAAAAATTTTAAGAAACCAAAAAAATACACAGCAATGTTTCTCCTCCCCCACTCTCCCTGCCATTTTACCACTCTGCTGCTGCTTTTTCTTTTTCAATTAAATTTTATTTCTTTTACATGTGCAGCAGGGAGTGGAGCATGCCTGTGCCACGGCACACATGTGCAGTCAGTTCCCTTCTTCCATCATGAGTGTCAGGTTGGCAGCAAGCACGTTGGTCTACCGATCCATCTCCACTGATCAGGAGTCTTTTTTCTCTTTCTTTTTTAATTAGATTTGTTTTACTAATATGAGTGCTTTGCCTACACATTTGTCTGTGCACCACATGCATGCCTGGTACCTGTAGAAGGGCTGAGCCTTCATGTGAGTGCTGGGAATCAAGCCTTGGTCCTACATAAGAACAAGTGTCCTTAACCACTGAGCCAGCTCTCCAGCCCGAGTTCCTTTTTAAAGGCTGAGTAATATTCTATTGTGTGCATCTGAAATACCCTCAGAGTGTGGACCTTCACGCTCCAACTCAGGAGACACCCCAAATCACTCACAAGAAGCGGTCTTGATGCAATCAGCATGAGGACTTTTTTATTCCAAGTGCACTGGGATCCACAGCCATATGCGCCACAGGGGTAGAGGACTGAAGGCCCCAAGTGCAGAACTGAGGCAGCTTTTATAGGGTTACAACAAAGCCCACGCATCGTAAACCAATCATCTCATAGCATCAAGAGCCCGCGCAGTGCGGGCCAATCAATTTAAACTGTTTTATAGTTTTTAGACCAATCATTTTAAATCATCCAAGCACGCGCTTTATAGACCAATCAGTTTTCTATAGCCTGGAGGTCTGCATTTCCCCGGGCTCCTAGGTGGGGTGACAATGGCAGTTAGGATAGGTCACTGGGGCGGGGGTTTCACAAGCAGTTTACGAAATCAGATAAGCAGCAAGGAGTGTGACCTTTTGCCTATTTACTGGCAGAGGACGGGGTCTGGAATTTGAGGTTTTTAGGGCTTTTTAGATAGTATTTCTAAACTTTTAGCTTCCTGGGGTCATTGGAGAGTAAGGCTGTATTTTCATCCTTTCGCGTCTACTACCCTTTCTGTCTCCATTCATCCACAGATAGATTGGGGTTGCCTTTGCTTTTGGTTATTGTGAATGATGTTGCCTCAGTGAGCAGAAATATGCCAAGACTCCCCTTCTGACCCTACCCACTATGGTTTGGTTCTGGGTTTAGATTTATTTGTGTCTGTGTAAATGTACAGGTGCTTGTGGAGGCCAGAACAAGGCCTCTGGAACTATAGTTGTAGTTAGTTGTGACCTACCCATTGTGGGTGCTGGGGACTGAACTCTGATTCTCAGCCAGAACAGCAAGTGTTCTTAACAGGGAGGTCCCCTGCAGCCCCTAGCTGTGTGGATCCCATAAAGATGGCTGCACTCCATCTTGGCACAAGGGTAGAGTTCAATGCTGTCAGCAAGTCACAAGACCTAAAGGTCAAAGGTGTGGCTACAGAAGGATGTTTAGGCTTAGTCTAAATAACAACAGATCTGAATCTGAGGTATGGCTACTTATGACTGTCAAGGCTAAGGAAGGAGAAGTTAAATCTGAAGTATGGCTACTCCTGACCTCAAGGCTAGGGAACAAGAAGTTGGAGATAAGGTGGGGTTATTGAACCCTTGGAATAAGGGAGGAAGAAAAGTCTGTTTGTTCCATATACATGATACTGTGTTGCCTTTTTGGTTATGGTATATAAGAGTGGTGAATCTGCCCTCCTGACCTTTACTCTCTCTCTCTACTCTCTCTCTCTACTCTCTCTCTCTCTCTCTCTCTCACCTATAGCGAGCCTTTCCCTCATCCACACTCTCCCACTCAGATACAGACTTGGGGCCATTCAGCTGGCTCCGATTGCAGCCCGCAAAGACCGCTCCCGACATAGTTGTTTTGTTGGTTTGAGATAAATCTCTGGCTGTCCTGGAATTTACTATGTAGACCAGGCTGGCCTGGAATTTACAGAGATCTGCCTACCTCTGCTTTGCCAGAGCTGGGATTAAAAGTGTTCCAGCTGTTTTTGTCTTTTATTAGAGCAATTTCACTTCTGTAGGCAGAGTTTTTCATTGGAACAGCCAGCTAGCTCCCAAATAATCACATAGAGACTTAATATTCAGAAAGAGATCCTTGAACCTAACTCCATTTTTAAAGATATTTCCCCCATGACCATTAATAACATGTAACCAATCCCCCTAAATGATGACAAATATTCATAATTCTTGTTTTGGGAAGGTGACTGGGATCTTTGGGAGAAATCAGGATAGCAGTTAAGTCTTGGATGGAGTAGTCTGTGAGGCTGGATCATCTCAGTAGGCAGCCTTGAAGCTGTTCTGGATGTTGAACTCTGAGGAAACTGCTAAAGAGGTGTTTTAAGATGTCAGGTCACCTGGGCCATCCATTTCTATTGGTGTCTTGTCCCCTTTCTCTGAAAATACATAAACTTTTAAACATAACATACATATCTGTATTAATACAGGTATTGACTGTGTGTTGTACACAAGTTAGCCAAAGATGACTTTTTGATTTATGTTTGAGCAAGTAAAATATATGTTATGTATTTTGTAGTTTTTCTAGGTTTATTTGTTTATGTCTGGAGCCAGGATTCTCAGGGTGTCTTCTCCAATCAAATCAGATCCATATCAACCTGGAATGAATCCATAGCATCTCACTTCCCGTGGAAATAAAAATATAACCTCTTCCCCTAAGAAACACACCTTTTTTAGCTTTCATTTTGAAGTCAAGATATTTTTTAAATATATAGGTTGGATTAATCTAGCAGCTTTCATAATCCACTATCTCTCAGCATCTACCACTTTTTCATCAGCAGTCAAAAATTCAAAGACGACATAATTACATGCACGATCCAGCCTGTGTATTTCCCATCTTTACATGGCTTTAAAGTTTTTGTACTTTACTGATTTTTAAGGACTTTATTATTTTTAAACTATTTTTAATTTATGACAGAATGTATTCTTTCTCTTTTCTATTGTAAGCCTATGTATATTTTTAAGCACACTGAAATCCACTTGGAGAGGTTTTTTTTCCTGTCTGGATCTGTCTTTACTGAGGAGCTGTATTGTTTTTTGATCACACGAGATGAACCTTAATTATCGTGTCAGCTGCTGGTACTGCTCAGTTTAGTGCATGGTGGTTGGTGGCTGGGTCCATCTGGCAGGCAGTGGCCAAGAGACATGTCTCTGTACTGAGGCATGAGAGACATGAGACTAGAAGGCCATGTTTGTGTTTGGAACCTTTTTAAAGTTTCCTCAAGTTTTATGTGGATGTAGCTGCCTTATGTTAGACACTATTTGTAGGCGAAGTTTTTAGTCAGGATGGCCAGCCAGCTCCCAAATAATGACACAGAGACTTAATATTAATTATAGATGCTCAGCCAATAGCTTAGGCTTGTTACTAACTAGCCCTTAAAACTTAAATTAATCCATATTTCTTATTTAAATTCTACCATGTGGTTCAGGGCTTGTTACCTCATTTCCTACATGTCCTGCTTCCTCTGTCTTGTGACTCCAAGGCCCCACCCTCCTTCTTCCTAGAGTCCCACTAGTCTGGCTTTCCTGCCCAATCTCTTCCTGCCCAGCTATAAGCCAGTCAGCTCTTTATTAACCAATGAGAGTAATACATATTCACAGTGTGCAAAGATTATTCTACAGAAGACTTCTTTCATTTCTTTCCTCCCTACAAACTCCTTTTCTTCCTCACTCTCAAAACGCACTTAGCCAAAGGCCCTGCCTTCTCCATCCTGGCCCTTTCCCAGCTAGTCCGGCTGCTCCCAAGATTCTAGAACAAGGGTCTCTCTGTGGAAC